GCACATTTTGCAAAAGCTTCCCAGATAAGGTTTGGAAAAAAATACTGGGGAGTTGTATTTGTGACACATTTCTGCTGCAAGTCAGCTTGTGAAATACCAGCTTTGTGTGAGGTTCAGGGGTTTTTTCTTAAGTCTCTGTTCAGCTTTTCTTCTGCTTAGAGACCTCTAAAGATTAATCCAGTTTATTAGCTCTTAAGAAGAAGTGAGAACGTATAGAGAGCTGTTCCAAGTGTTTCTGAAAAGTGGAAAGACAGAATTCTTCTTTTGATTTCTTTGAACATATTTAAGCATGAAAACTAGCAAATGACAAAGGTAGGGTTTAAAATTTTATTGGATAGAGCCAGTGATGAGGAGGGGGTTGGTTTGATTTGATGTTTTAGAGCAGTGTAGGTGGATTTTCCTTTTTTCCAAGTAAGATTGCACTGTTGAACTTTCACTTCTTGCCAACAGGTTGCTTTCAGGCTGTGTACAGTTACTGCTGTTGAAGGATTGCAGTTACTAAAACAAAAATAAACAAAATCCTTTTCTATGATAAAAGAGGGATGGATGAATGAATGGAAATAAGACTTTTAATCTACAAATGCTTGAAATTGGAAGAAAGCTTTTTGGGAAAAGGAGTAATGTTTTGAGTTTGCAGTTTGCCAGAGCACAGACAGTGTGCCACGTGCGTGTTAGCTAGGGAAGAAAAGGTCTTTAAAGAACGTTAGAGCCTGGTTTTTGTGTAGGAAACACAGAAACGCAAAATCGTGGTGTGAGGCCTGTACCTGTGCCCCTGCTGACCTCTGCAGACAGTCATTGCAAGCCTTAATAATAACCACGGTCCTTGAAGGACCACGGGGAACGTCTGAGCCCTGCAGGAGCTTCAGCTCTACCTGGCGGCAGCGAAGGTCCACTGGCAGCGCCTGCAAGCCTTGAGAAGGTCTGCAGGGGCGAGTGAAGAATTTACAAGGTCTGCAACACGTTTGAGAGGGGTTACTACGTGTGTGGAGAATAAATCAACAGAAGTAAGGCCCTGCAAACAGAACGAAGTAGGCTGATTCATCCGGCATGTTTTGTCGAGTTGTAAAGCGGGCTGGAGATCTGCTTTGGGGTTGGTTGGTGTGACATTACAGCAGCAACTGCCTGGCATGTGTGTTTAAATATTATAACGTAAGAATGGCTAATCTCAGTTTTAATTTTGAAAGATAAAAAGCACGCAATACTAATTACAATGTGAGATTTGAGGTGGTTCTATTCTGCAAACATCATTTTTTTGGTGAAATTTTGAATGGCAAGGAGAGAACACGAGACCGGTTGTAAAAATGTTCAGGGCCTCAGGGTGACCTTAAAGTCTGGCCATCTCTGGTGTTTTTTATTGTTCGTTTTCATTATCACAGAGTGATTGTTGAAACAGAGATGACAGGCACTAGGGACCAGAAA